CAAGGAGAGACAACAAACAAAAAACCAAACAAATGAACAAGAAAAATTCAGATGTTTATAAGTACTATAAAAAAAATGAAACAGTCTAATATGTTAGAGATATTTATGGGTGAATGCTTCTTTAGACACAGCAATCAAGGAATGTCTCCTTGAAGATGTATCACTGAACCACTTGTTGGCTGATGTAAGTGGAAGAGCAGTGTGAAGAAGTGCAAAGGCCCTGTGGAAAAACCAAACATATTAGTGGGTTCAAGGCACAGAAGGTGTGAGGTGCCTTATCCTGGTAGCTAAAACTGTATGCTTGGTGGGGAGGTTAAAACTTAAGCAGGAGGCAGGTTTATAGGACCCTGTTGGAAAGGAAAAGAATCCAAATTTAACTGTATGTGTAGGAAGAGAAGGCTTAACCTTATTCCCCTGTAAAGAGACTGCTCTGGTTGCTGTGAAGAGAAGAGATTTGGCTTAAATCATTGCCTATAGCAAGTTGAACAGGTGGGAGGAAGAGAAGGGATAGTATTCTGGACTCAGTTTAGCAATAAAGATGGAAAAAAAGGAGATTTATGTAGAGTCAAGAAAAGTTGCTGCACAAACGAGACACAGACAGTATAGAAAATGAGTTTTCCCATGAGTTCCTGGGATGGGAAGAGCCAAGCCAGGGGTAAGCAGTGACAGGTTCTGTTCTATTTCTGAATGCTGTGTTTTCATTAGGCATCCAAGTAGACAGAGATGTCAGGAAGTCCATTGGAAATAAGAGTCTGGGCTCATTAACGATGTCTGATGGGTGTGGATTTTGTAGTCATTGTGCAGATGGAATTTTAAGTTAATGACTGAACGTGAGAGTGGGAGGAAGGAAATGTTCAGGTGGAGAAGAGTGGAGGACCTAATTTCAAGTTCTCTGGAACACTTCAGATTTAGAGGGGTCACGAGGAGGGACCAGGACAAACAGAAAAATGAAAGAGAGCAGAGGAGTGTGAAGGATTTAGCACATTATGGGGTGGATAGTGACAACTTAGAAAATTACTCTCAAAAATCCAAGTTCATGTCTCCTCTTGAAAGACCAAACAGTGATTGTGAACATCCTAATTACTGGCAAAATGTCTCTTTAACTTTAATATTTCACGAAAGTAATGAAGAAGGAATTTACAACAATGGAATAATTAAATATCTTCAAGTAATATATGACTTGCTAGCTCAGTTGCTAAAAATTAGAAAGTCACAACATCACATAATTTGTTTCAGTCAAAACTATAAAACACTTTGAGCAACTATGACTTAGAAGTTTAGCTGAAATTATTTTGAAACAGTAATGTTCTGTTGAATCCCTCAGTGGCATGTATTTTGTTTTGCTGTATGCTGATAAAAATACTTACAATACTATTAAAGCCAAGACTTGGACAGGTTGGGGGTTTTTTGCAAGTTTGTTGGTTACATAAAGACTTATTTTTAAGTCAAATTTTAAATGTTCCGCTTCTTTGAGAAATTGGAAAAATCAATCGATTATCAGCTTGGTAGATATTTTGCAGGAGTTAATATTCTTGATAACTGTAAAGCATAAGTCCTTACATGTATGATATATAATGTATGTATACATGTTTATGTTTATTTGATTTGGGTTTGTTAGATTTTCATAAGGGAAATTTTTTCTTTTAGAGCAGCACAACTTATTTTTGTACTGACTGGTAATTAACCAATAAGAAAATAGTTTGCTAAACTGAAAAATACAGGGCTTAGCACATGCCCGGCACCTTTCTCAACATATTCCATTGCTACCTCGCTTAATTAAGTTTACAAATCATCGCAAACTTTAGCTTCTGAGTGCCTTTAATTTAAGAAATGTGCCAACTTACATTTCTAGATACTTCTGAAATTTACTGGTTATCATACTTGAAAGGAAATAATTATATTTAATTTTCCTTGTTCCAGTATTAGATACTAAAATTGAGGAAGAAGAAATCCAGAAAGGAAGCAACGTTGAATACCCTCTGTGTGTCTGGTGGTCTCAACTGCTTTATGCACACTATTTGATTCAGCCTTAGAGTTGTTTGTACATTTTGTTTCTTATTCTTAGGATTATTAAACAAATGTATAGACAATACTTCACCATTGGTTTTATTTTATTTTTTACCTTTTTTTCTTTTTTGTGGTACTGGAGATGAACTGCAGGGCCTTGTACCTGCTAAGGAAGGGCTCTTCTGAGCTGCAACCCCCTTCCCCAGCCCCTTGTCACTAAATTTAATAAGAGAAGCATAATTATGCTTAATTTCAAAGAAAAAGTAATCTAGTTACTATTGATACATATCTTGAATTATAGTATTTTTCTTCAGTTGAAAATAGGCAAGACAGATGTTTTGGCTAGTTTACTATGATCTCATATTGAAAAGGCCCAGGAGAAAGTCATGTAGTTTTCTTTCCTACCCCTACTTCATCGTCATGTAACTATAAAGGAGCAATTTAAGCATATCTGTTTACTCTTCATTTAAAAGAATAAATATGAGAGAAAGAGTGGGAAGAGGGAAATATTGAGAGAACATGTGCCAGTTTAATGTAGATGGTAGGCTAGTAGGAAATAGATAATCAAGTATATTGTCTATTAACTGGAACTGAAAGCAGAGTGTTGTATGCAGCCAGGTGCGTGCATGAGCAGCAGAACGCTCAAAACCTCAGTAAACCCAAGTAATCTATATTCAGATGTACTAGCTTAACTGAGTGAACAAATATCACTTTTTGCCCATTGTCTCAATGATAACATTTTAAAAGAAGGAAATATTCCATTGAAATGAAAGAGGAATCAGCATCCTTTAAATGTAAACAGCTGTGATGGTTCCTTGCTGAATGGCAACTGTGGAGCAGATGGAACCACAAGTCCATCTAGAGGCTCAAGAAAGGGGAGGGCCTCAAACTCAGGAAGATGAAAGATTCATTCAGCTTGACCTATAAGAGGAAATCACCAAAGCCTTAGAAATGGCCAAGTTTTCCTTTTCTGAGAATAGAAAGTGCTGTGCTGGGGGGCTCTAGAAGTCATGGATGAAAGAGAATATTAGGAATCTTAGCTCCTGGCTAGTGAGAGCACAAAGACAAGAGAACCTCACAGTTCGGGAATGCTACATAAGGAGCACGTCAAAGATGGGAAATAAGAACGATAAAAACACTGTGAGTTGTTAGATGTAACATTTGTGCCCGTTTTGTCACATTCTGTGTTTAGGAACTTGGTGAAAGTAAAGATATTTGCTCCTAATATCAATTTGACTATTATCTATTCTCAGCTACCTTAATACATCAATTTTCAAGAAGAGAAAAAAGTGCATTTTGCTCAAAGAAATCCAAATGACTCTTCTTGTTATCCTCAACTGAATACAATCTTGCAAGCAACATTATAATATTTCTGCTTCTAAACACAGGCTGATTATCAAAAACGAATGTGAAAGCATTTCATAAAGTATAATAAAATGGAATAATATAAGGGATTGTTAGGTTATTTTTTAAGCATTTAGAAAACTATAAAGAAGCGCAGAATTCTGTTAGCCATCTTACAATCAGCTTTTCATTTGAACTTACTGAGAGTTGTTGTAAAGATTGAAATTTTGATTTAAAAAACAAGAAATGGCTCACAAATTCTATTAATCCAAATACAGAAATATGGAATGCTCAACCATCATCAATGTAGTCTCTTATTTTGTAATTAATCTATTCCACAACATCTGTATTTCCTAAAGAACAACAGACTAATGAAAAAATAAAGCCAATGCAACCTAAAAAGTCATGATTTTTTGCAGCCTTGGCCCAATTTGATTTTTCAGGGCTTGAAAGAAAATGCTCATTGTGAGTTTATCATTTTCCCAAAGTTATCATTATATTTTGGAACAAAATATTTACATAAAATTGTAGAAAAAGTTATACATCTTGCATTTTAATTCATCCACTATTACAGTCCACATTTTATGTAAAAAATATTACTTTAATTATTTTAAAACAAAAGTAAAGCATAATTAATTTAAAAATCCACTTTACCTGTGAGTTTTCTCAGAATGTAACATTTCCTGAAGAGCTCTAGTATCTTAATTTGCCTTTTACTCCAGAGCTCCATTTTAGGGATTGAACATCTGGGTTGGCTGGGAAGGATGGCATTCCTTTCCCCTGTCTCTTCTTACCATCCTCTCCTCCAGATAACACACCTCATATTTGTTAAAAAATGGATGTAATTTTAACATATATTGTTTTAACACACAATGAATTATAGAATCTTCAATAGCTTTTTAATTTAAATACATTTTAATTGTAAAACAGTATTAGAGCTACCCTAAAAATATTGTAAAACAGTATTAGAGCTACCCTAAAAATATTAGGGACACAGATGGTTTTCTTTATAGTGTCACTTAAATTTAAGGGCCATCAACATGGTGTTAAAATGTTCAGAGGACAGCAATAATAACAGCACATGGCTCAGACTAAAATTCTTTTCTGTTTAGAAAAAAAGGAGAGATTTCATTCTCATACTTTATAATGAAAATAGATTAGAAATTTGGGATCACATGGGACAACAAAAATTCCTGTAGATTACAAGTACTAGTTTTGTTTTTAGTGAAGTCTTTTTTTTGTTTTATCTATTGTCTTGTTTTATTGTTGTAGCCATTAATTTGCTGAACTCTTCAACTGATAAAATACATCACAGAGCAAGCAGCTTTTTGATTTATCTCTGTCCTGAAATACATTTCACTTGCATCTTGATCATTTTAATTTGGCCTTCCTAGTATAAAAATACTATGCTTTGCAATTTGAGAAAATCAGTAAAGGAAGGTTTCTCAAAATTCACATTAATGTACATGCAACAATGTTTTAACAAAAATGGACTTTTAAAATTTTTCATAGAAAAGAATGAGTTTTAAAATGAAAATTTAAATTTTTTTCCTTTTTTTATTATTCATTTATTCACATGTGCATACATTGGATCATTTTTCTCCCCTGCCCCCCTTTAAAATGAAAAGTTTAAATGCTCAATTATTTCCATATTAAAATTACTACACGTTACAGATCCATGAATACTTCTAGGAAAGTTTTATCTCAGGAAGCGTGTCAACAGATTGAATCTGTGAACCAATTCAGTTAATTCAGTAATGAGACTTTGCTGTTTGCATGGCTGGTTTTTCTTTTTTCTTATAGTTTTATGTTGCATGACTACAGTTAGAATATGTTAGTTTGAACACAGGATCTAAGAAGATGAGAAGAAAGTCTCCTTTTGCTAAATAATAAAAAATGAGGATAGCTTGCATTTGGATCATTTATTTGTTAATTCTTCCTTGAATAACACATTTGGATTTTGTCCTTCACTGTTTAGTGAGAATCAGGAATTATTCATAGCATTACTCTTGGGAATAGCAACAATTTTTCTTGCCTTTATTTGAGTCTGGATTTCTGATAGAAAGTTTAAAAAGAAAAAGAAAATAAATTTGAAAATTCAAAGGCTACTGAAAAAGAAGCATCATTACTTATGGAAAATACTATTTCAGAGGAAACAGAAGCATTAGAAATCAGCTATTTCAACTTGTGATTTTGTAAATGAGAAAAACTGAAACTGTGAGAAGTTTAATGATTTGTCTTTATTACACTAAAAATGAGAGAACTTGGTCCTGAATTCCTCCATTATAATGTGAGGCATTTATCTATTTGACTGATAAATGAAATGAATTTAAAAGATTAGGCATTCAGGGACAAGTTCTGAATCCTAACTGCTGCACTAATTTTTCCATTATACTTAGCTATTGTACTATGTACTTAGTTTTACTTAAGTATTATATTATTATGTGATTGATATCTAGCAACTTACTTCACTTTTTCAGGCATCCGTTCCCTTGCAATGAGATGTAGGCTTAGCCCAGTTTGTCAACCTTGACCTCATGGACAGTTTGCTGGGAGAATTTGGCTTCCTGTGCATCCTGACCCTCTAGCACCCCTCCCCACCCCAACAGCTCCAGTTGTAACTCAAAAAAAGTCTCCAGCAATTGCTAAATGTCCTAAGGGCAAAATTGCCAGTCCTTCACCACCTTCACTGACTAGCTTAGTTGAAATAATTTCTTTGGGTTGTTCCAGTGGTACAACTGTGCTATTCTAGACTGCATGCTTAACTAATAACAGCTTCGGCAGAAGATAGCACTAAGCATTACAAATCAGGAAGTTTGTTGGGTACTGTGTACGATGATCAAACAGGACATCACATGATTTATGAACACTTACAAAGATCAGTTTTTTTAGTAACAATGTGATATGAAATATTTTTAAAGTTTAAGAGTGTTTAACAAAAACATAAGTGACATTTTTCAGGTAAGAATTATCTATGTATTTGTTAGCTGTAGATACTAAAGACAACAATTTGGTCATTGTTCCAAAAATAAATAAGGACTCCTTGCTAACCATAGGTGTTCACTGTGCTGTGTTGTCTTCTATGCCCCACAACTGGGTAGGGCAGTTGGTTCTGCTAAGATGTGTTAAAACAAACATTAAAGGCTTCTGAGAGAAAAAGGTGACAAGTGCATTGTCGTCCTTTGCAAATGGAAGAAAGCCTTACTGTATCTAGTGCACAGACAGGGTACTGTACAGGAAAACTAAGGCACATCAGACACTTGTCTGACAGCTGACTCCTGACCAGAGAGCTAGTCTAATGAACTCTGCTACACAGCACAAGGTTACTTTCCTCATCATACATTGCTACAAGTTCCCTGAGGAAGTTTACTGACTTGTGTTTTTTAACGAGAACTGTAAAGAGGAGGTGGTGTTGGGAGAAGGTACACAGGCAAGCTCAGTTGCTATAAGGTAAGTGCTGAGGGCTCAAAATGGCTGGTTATGTTCTGCCAGATGGAGATAAATATTGAGGCGGCTACATCCCGTGAGTAGATATTGTGAAAGTAAGCAGACTTGTGTCGGTGAGTAATAGCAAACAGAATTACACAGGGAGACTAAGAGGAGTTAAAAAATCAATCTTGATTAAAATGGAAAACCTGTGTTTGTGTTAGTAGAACATTTAAATTCTACCATAAGGTGGAATTAAGAACATAATGTACACATATGTATATTTTTATCTGGATTAAATATTTTGAATTACCTTTTCCAGCTGAGCAAAGTTTATACTGTAATCTAAAACAGTGAGTTACTAGAGTAGAGAAAATTATCTGGGTGTTTTTGCTAATCAAAGTGTTGCTGATTAATCTTTCAGGATATTAAGCTTTCTACATTTAATAACTAATGAAGTGTTAATGGAGAAAGGAACATTTTCTGCTATTGAATATTATCACCAGATTACTGGTACTTTCCACTTTTCCCCACTAAGGAAATCCAGCTTTTATAAACTCCTCCATTTTCTGTTATTATTGGATTCAAATGATAAAGATTTTATTTCTCTCCAAGTCAAGATAATGAATGTAAAGAATGAACAATTTTCTCTTTTTAAGTAAAACTAAATTCATGATAGATATTCGTCTAAAATCCCACACATGTCTGAAATGAAGTGTACTCTGTTTACTGGGCAAAGCATCAACTACAATTTCAGAAAGGAGGTGATGTTTTCATGTCTAACTCTTCACTTCTGGGTTTTGACTGAGTCCAGAAGCAGAAGTTGCAAAACCTTATGAGGAAATCTTTGCTCATTTTTTACCCTGATTTCCACCAACTGGAAACCCTGGAAGACTATAAAAGTCTATTCTCGCTAAATGTCCATCTTAGTTTCTCATTTTCATGGCAGGTTTCAGTTACCTTTTCCAGCTGGCCTCAATCCATTCAGAATCACCACTCACGTTTCACCATCCCTGCCCTCCTCTTGGATGGACACAGTTCTTCCCTTGCTATTGGCTTCCTGCACACCCCATAAAAATAGGGATTGGAAGCTCTCTTCCATTATTAGATGGAAATAGTCTAATTATGATTGGCACTCAATGAATGTGTTAAATTAAACTGTATCCCATCTCTGTGAGATGGCAGTTTTTTAGTTTTCCTGGAAAAGAGGTGTGAAGTACACATCAATCACAGCCATCCCACAAGACCAAAGGGGCACCCTTGTAGTCTCCCATTGCAGTGCCCCTCCTTTTTGGATACCCAGTGCCTGATATTATATTGAAGCCTTTTAACATATATTTATTAAATTAATACTGAAATAAATGAATGAATGAAGCCCTAATACTCTATGAGATAACCTGGTGTTATCATGGGAGTATTTGAGCCTGTTTTGCATAGATGGTCTGATATTAATGACTGACATTTTAATAGTAGAAATAGCAAACTACTGATTTTGAATATCATTTCATTGTTACTTTTTATATGAAGGAAAAAACTAAGACAGTATGCACTGTGACTAATTGTACTCAAGAAAGATACACAATACACAAATGATTTATTTCCTTGAGACAGAATGATACAGATAGCCTAGAATTTTTACCATGACTTATCAATCTCTATGAAGTAAAATAAATATTTCTTTTTTTGTGAAGTGGTAAATTTGGTAAAGCCCTTTGCTTGGTCTTTTGCAGACTAAATTAAATCTGCTGCTTTTTCTATCCTTACTACTCCCTCTTTCCCCCAAAAGGTAGTTAAGACTTTGATATTTTAGACTGGGATACTAAATGTAGCTCACATATGAGAAGATTTGATGGAATTGCACTCCGGTTCTTATTATGCTATTTCTAAAAAGATTATGAAAATTCGTGTTCCCTTCGAAGACTTTAAACAGCACAGATTTCTGTTGGCTTTTCATAATAATCAGGAAAGAAATCCAGTTCTCCCTTCTCTTTGAAGTAAAAACCTTTAAAACTACTTTTCATCAAACCATTGGAGGATGTTAAGTTGAATAACTGATATGTTTCCACCTTATAGAGTTATGTAAAAAAATATCTACACAGACTAGCAGCATTCTGCCTTTATAGTGATAGATAAGAAAAACAATTTTTTCCAGACCATGTTTTTCAAAATAATATTTAAAAAGATCAGTGATGCCATGCATGGTTGTGCACACTTGTAATCCCAGGATTTGGGAGGCTGAGCCAGGAGGATTGAAAGTACAAGGCCACTCTACTCCATAGTGAGTTGGAAGCCAGCTTGTCATCTGTGACATAGTCTTAAGGAGGAAGAGTGTGTGTGTGCCTATTAATTCTTCTTTTTGGAAGGATCTAAGCTATTAGTTTGTGGAATTCTCAGAGAAGACTTGTAAGGCCATTATGGACCCAAGTATGTTTCTTCCTAGAAAGAGATTCCATTTTTAAATCTGGGTGACCTTAGCTTACTGTTCTTCAGCCTCAACATCTTCTCCATGGAGTAGCTACCACTAGCACATGTACTCAAAACGTGCCATTACAATGCACTGGAGTTCTTCACCTTTGGCCTCACCCCCAAATTTCCATGCCTAACCACATGCCTATCTGCTAACTTTCACACTAAGCCTCTGATGCCCTTCCTCCCCTTTTTTCCAATTCCTTTTACAATGCGGTTGCACAGTCTTTGAGTTAAAAGAAGCCTTAGGGTCAATGTATGTATCCTTTTTTCCACCCATCCTCACTGCTTTCGTATTTTCTACAGACATATTATTTGAAATTTGTGCTTTCAAAATCTCCTACACTATGACTAAAACCAATAGTTTCCAAACTATTTAGTCTTAGGACTTCTTTTTAATCATTCTTAAGCATAAACTTTATTCTTAAGCATAATTGTGCACCACAAATAGTTTTTCTCTATGTGGGTTATATCTATATTTACCATAAAAGAGAATAATTTTTAAACATTCTTTGTTAATTTAATAATAAAAGAAGCTATAATGGTGGCACACATCTGTGATCTCAGCAGTTGGGAGGTGAGGCAGGAGAATCAGGAGTTCCATACTGTCCTAGGCTACATAACAAGACTGTCTCAAAAAAAAGCGAGAATAGTAAACCCAGTATATGCTAATATAAATTAGATATATTGTATTAATATTATAAAATAGAGATTTAATAGAAATAGTAGCATTGTTTTGCATTTTTAAATAAATCTTTTTAATGTCTGTCTTAACAGAAGAAGAGAGATTCTTTCTACCTGATCTTATATTCTATTTGCTTCAATATCAAATGCCATATAGATTCTGGAATCATCCATTATCAGCTAATGAGAGATACAAAGGAAAATAACTTCTTCTTATTATTATAAAAGTAATAATACTTAATATTTCTTATTTTGACCTTGAAGACTCCACAAAAGATTCCTGGGGACTGTCTTGGTTCTTGAGAACATATTTTGACAACTGCTGACTTAAGCCAACTGCATGAAATCCTTTCCCTAGAGTGGTATTAGCATAGGATTATACTTCCTAATAATGATACTGCCAGTATTTAAATGTGTTATGTTATTTAATCTATACTACTTCTTCTTAGGACAAAACATCTGATATTTCCTTAAGTTTCCTGTACTTGTCATTATATCTTCCACTTGTCTTCACTCCTTTCCCTCATCAGCCTCCTCTCAATACTCCAGGATTTAAATTCCATTTATAATGTGTATGTCATGGACTGGGTACAGCACATCAGGCACCTGGTACTTCTCGTCAACAAACATGTATCTTCCCAATCTGGCTGTTTGGAACCTATCAGGTCCAACTGGTTGTCGATCTTTTTATTGACACACAATAATTGTACACATTTGTGGAATGAAATGTGAAGATTTCATACATATATCCATCTTTCATTCTTTGAAAAATGAGCACATTCAGTAATCTTCCTTCCAGCTACTTTGGAATATAGAATATATTATTGATTATAATCCCTACTGTGCAATAGAATACTAGGACTTCCTCTTATGTGTGTGTGACTTTCTGCCTGTTGACCAATCTCTCTCCATTCTTCCCTTCTCCCTCTCCCCATCCTCTAGTAACCACAATTTTACTCTCTACTTCTACATGGTCAACTCTCTAAAATTCCACGTATGATTGAGAACATGTGGTTTTTCTGTGTCTGGCTTATTTCACTTGACGTAATGTTCTCCAGGTTCATCCATGTTGTTTGTAAAAGGATTTCATCTTCTTACAGTTTTTATATTACATACCAACTGTCTCAGAAGCGACCTAACCAGACTAGGCAATGTGTTTCCTTCAGCCTGTTTGGCTATTTTAATAATGATAGTGACATAAAAAAGAATGGTTATTAAATTAACTGATAATATTCAGCACTTAATATGGTACATGTTATTTTTAATGTATATATTAATTCACTCAATTCTTATAATAACTCTATGATGGATATCTTTACCCTCATTTTATACATTCTTTAGCTGAAAAGATTAGACAGACAAATAAGAGAATAATAGGAGACAAAGCCAAGATTTGATTCTCAGCAACTTGATCAGACTCACTATGACCAAGGACTTTCTAGAAGCTGTGTGTTTAGGGGTGTGTGTTTGTGTGTGTGTATGTGTACCTGTATTAGTATAAATTTAAATATCACTATTTTAGATTGGATCTATACCTTAACCTGAAATATTATATTAGAAGTGAACATTTTGGTAGAAATTGAAGAATGGAAGAGAATAGAAAGTGAAAGAGAACAAAGGAAATGTAGTTATGAATATTGAAAAATAAAGTATTTATCTCTCCTTATATAAATACTCCTGCCTTTTTGCAGTTTAAAATCCACCAGTAACTTTCCACACACTGCTCAGTTTCCCTCTCTCCTTTTTCAGGGCAGCATTACAGAGACTGCCAATACTTACAGCTCCTCAATCACTAAGTTTCTGTTCTTTCAACAAGTCTGCCTTTCTGTCACTTGTAGATGTTTCCATAGGAACTATGAGCATTACAATTTCTT